GAACGAACTCATTTTACAAACTAATTTCAAGCAAACTCATTTATTTGAATTAATTTTGTATTGATAAAAGACATTGAAATGTAAATGTAGTGTCTTAAATTTATTCTTTTTTATTCATCTCTCTTCATTATCTAGAATATGTATCGAGTTAGCCCTGGATCTAGCCCTACATCCTTAAGATTTATTAAAATTGAAGAGCAAGAGGGTGAAAGCTTGTCAATGTCAAGAGAGACATTACTCTTTTTATTTCCTGACCATCCTCTTGCAATTGAAAACAATGAGGATTTTCCCATGGAAGACACTTCGGCAGACTTACTCGATCTTTCTACAGCTGAAAATACATTGATAGATAATTTTTCCGATGATCCGATTGATCTTTCTGCTGCTGCTCATTCATTTATCGATAATTTTAGCAATGATATGATTGATCTGTCTACTGATGATAGTGGATTAATGGATAATTTTTCACAATTTAATCATGTTGAGAGGGTTGAGATGGATGCGAGTGCGCAAGAAACTAATCCCTTACCTTGCGCAGACTCAGAAACCATTCAATTAGATGATTTAGAAGACATTCAATTGGATGATTTAGAGGAAGAGCCAATGAACTTGGCTGATATACCTGTTTCCATTTTCGATTTTCTGTCTTTATTATCCTTAACCCCTCCTCTTGAAGTACATTCTGTACTTGCATGTGTTGTGACGATAGATTTGAATCCCTTAATAATTCATCTATCGAGAAGATTATTTTTTGATGTAATGAATCGAGTTCCTCAAGAAACTTTGTATGACATTTTACATTATCTTAATAATTAAATGATTTCATTATAATTTACACAATAGTTACAAATCTATTTTATAATTTGATAAATTTACAGATGAAGATAATATCCTTAAGCTCAAAACCAAATAGAAGATCGGGTCGTGTCCCATCAAAAGATGAATCTTTTTGGATTGAAAAAGATAAAGTTGATTGTTCAATTCTGAAAATTCCTGAAAATGATGCATGTTCAACTGAAAATACTGATAATCCATGTAAAGCTTCAAAATATGTGAAATGCCTGAAAAAATTACATAAAAAAGTAGATTATAAAACATTATACTGTAAATCATGTAATGGTGGTAGAAAGCTAAAAGACTTTGACAGGAAAAAGATTTTGCACCAAACAAAAGTTCCTCGTTTCCAAACAAAGAGGTTATGTATTCGAAATTCAGATAATGCTTGTCCAAGAGTGAGCCAAGTTAGAGATTGGTTAATTTATTGTAAATTTAAACGATATTTTATGTCAAAATGTAAAGAACATTCTAGTCTTTACAAAAAAATCAAAGAAGATGTTGAAATAAGATATTCTGTAATGACTGAAATTTTCACGAATTAATAATAAAATTTATCTATTTAAAAAATAGATAACAATGAAAGTCAATCCATCAATTGAAAACTGGACGGATCCTGAAGCCATTGAATCATTGAAAAAATTTTTGAGAATGAAATTGATAGACCATAGATTCAACTCTTTTGACGGATCTCCATATACGTTAGAACAAAAGTGTACGGCTGCTTATGATGGTTTTTATCTTTCCAGTAACAAAAGAAACTTTGTATGTTTCTCATGTGGTATACATATACCAACAACACTTGCGAATTTTAAGATAACAAATTTGCACAAAACCTTTTCACCTGATTGTGCCTATTGCAAAAGGGAGGAACTAGGCTTGAAATTATGGCAAGATGGAAATTCCGGGTTTTCCTATTTTTGTGTGCCTAAAAAAATGGAGTTCGGGTATCAAGAGAACTTGATAAAAATGGTGAAACTTGTGAAGAAGAGTTTCAACACGATTGAAAAAAGTTTAACATCATCTTCTTACATTTTAAATCCGATGAAAGTTTACCAACTTTTCCAAATAAGGGAAAATAGATATTATTCTTTCAAAAATTCTACTTGCCCCATTGAAAAAGTAAACGCGTTTGTGGAATCTGGATTTTATTACTTGGGTTATCAAAATATTGTACAATGTGCTTTCTGCTCCTTGGCTTTTCGTGGTAACAATCCACGCCACCCATCGGTCATTCATAGATTTTTTTATCCTGGATGTCCTTTTTTAACATTGGAGCGATATAGAATTGATCGAGAATATTGTATCATTTGTTTGGTGGAACCAAGGAGGATTTTATATTTACCATGCAAACATTTGATAACATGTGAGGGATGTGATGATAGATTGCTAGACCAAAATCAGGATGACTGCCCTCTGTGTCGTACTGCTATCATTATTAGATTAACTTGCATCTCTCCTTAGGTAGACGATTATACAAAATACTTTTAAACACAATATTTAATATTTTTCTTTAATTTCAGATCGAGATGACAAAGTATAATTTGAGAAGTAGAAAGCCAAAGTAAGTCCATCTATAGCTTTCTGATTGAGTATTTATACTTACATTCAATCTCCTTTCACTTCAGAATACCAATGCTCAAACCTGGTCCAATCAAACCTCGTTTGAAACTGTTGATGGATTTTTTCGATGCTAGGGAGTATCTTTATGGGCGATCGCTGCACCAATTTACACAGGCTTTGAATAAACTTAAAGGATCAGATTATTTAATGAAAAAAAGGAGAGGTATTATATGTAAAATTAATGAAACTGTTGCGGAGTTTCGTGAAACTCAATTTATAATCTTGGAAGACTACAAGTATTTGCGCATGTTTTTGCTTGAATTATATCTTTGTATTGTTGATTCTATTCGAATCCATTAATTATTTGGTGTTCTATTTACTGGTGAACTCATTTCTTTTAATATCACTTTTAAACCTGCAAGCATTAAAGCTATTTTTAAATAGACACTCCTTTCATTTTGCAATCTCATTTTTCGCTTATAAAATGAAAAACTTTAAATTATTTTTGACATAACAGAAATAACATCTATTGGAAACATGATAGAAATGAAAGTTTTTTCTGAAAAAAAATTTAAAGGAACTGAGGTTAGACTATGGTTGAATAAAAACAAATATAGAATACTTAAACCAAGTTTCTTGGAACGACTTGACCTGCTTTTCACCAACAACAAGTTTACAAAGAGCTTAAAGGGATCTCTTATTGGCCCAGTTAAACGACTTGATGATAATAATTTCATCTTGAAAGGTAAGTCTATTGCTACAGTTTATATAACATTTACTAACTATTTTCTCTTTCTTTTAGTTTCCATAGATGAACAATATTGTGATTCAATATTAACCTTTTTCTGTTCATCCATCCTACACCATGATCATCTAAATATCACTGAAAAAATTGAGCTCGCTTATGCTCTTGATTTTTTTGGTATATGTTTAGATGATAACGCTCACAAGTATGAGTCAATTAATAATTTAAGACAACAATTGATTGACTATGCACTATCTTTAGATAAATTTGAACCTTTTCTTCTCATTACATATCTTATCCCTGAAGTTGAAACCAAAGAATTGGGTTAATGATACATGAAACCTGTTTCCTGTCCTCATTTTATAATCTAATTCTGTGTTCTCATTCCGTGTCCTGATTTAAAACATGTCATAAGATAAAAATAGCTTAGAAGAGGGAGTGTTCAAAGCGAGGGAGCTAAGAAAAGCATTTTGAAAAGAGTATAAAAGCATTATGTTTTTGCAATTCACATCATTCAACTTTTTGTCATCGACTTAAAACATTATGGACTCAAATGGTAGCAACTCTTCAACTTCATCAACTGTAAACAAGAAGAGTTTTCAACGTAAAAAGTTTACCGATGGTTTCGAACAATTACTCAGTGTAGAAGTTTGTCCACAACTATGGATTACAGTTCAAAAGTCAAAAACTCAACAAGGTAACATGTTTGTAGACATACGTCGAAGGAAAGAGGGTCAATGGAAGGGAAACAAAATATTCATTCCAACACATGCAGGTCTGTTTCTGAAGTACGCCGAGTATGAAAAGTTTAAACAAAAGTTGGAGATGGTTCTCGTTAACATTGAAAAACGGTTTGATTTTTCGCACTACAATGGACGACGAATTATTGGATTGGTTTTACCAGACGGGACTTTATCTGTTGAGCTTAAAACTGACTACAAAGAAGCAAAGATTATCCTTACTCGAGATGAAATTGATAAATTGATTTCACACGCTGTTGCTGATGGCATTGCTTCTGCAATGTCTCAAGTCATTTATGAAGAATGAATATTTCTCTTTCTTTTGATTCATATTTTTCCCTTTTATTCTATTTTTATCTTTATTCTATTTTTATCTTCATTTTATTTTTATCTTTATTCTATAATATATTATTAAGCAAAGTAGATAGTCTTGTTTGTGTAAACCTGTTACTTTGAATGTATCCACCCATCTAGAGTGAGCAATTTTTGGTATATAAAGCGCTTTTTCTTTTAGAGAAGATCATTCAAAATGATTGAGAGTTTGAACTTTTGTAAGTGTTATCCAGATGTACCTACTCCAACTCGAGCAACTGCTGGATCAATTGGATTTGATTTGATGTCTTGGGAAGATGTGGTTTTAACATCGCAAAAGATTGTCATCGTTCGAACTGGTATCAAGATACAACCCCCTGCTGGAACATACGTCAGACTTGCTTCACGTTCTGGACTTGCTTCAAAAGGTATTGTTGTCCAAGGAGGAGTGATTGACCCGGATTATACTGGAGAAATTAAAGTTATCCTGCATAATTTCTCTGATAATCACATCATAATCAAAAAAGGAATGAAAATTGCTCAAATGATTGTCGAAAGAGCAGAGGTACCCGATTTGATTGAGTTTCCAAGCTTACCTGGATGTAGTGAGAGAGGGGATTGTGGTTTTGGTTCGTCTGGAATTTGATTTTTGACTCTATTATTACTCTATTCTATACTCATGATATAACCGGTTTTATATTACTTTATTTTATTTTGTTTTTTTTATCTACCGTCATTTATTCTTTCTATTTATACACTTTTAATCTCTAAAAAACAATAAAAAAGAGCGCTCCCAAAAACGCCTTTTCAGCCTAAATTCTTATTTAAAGTCAAAGCTTACCATTTTAAAGTTCATATCTTGAAATGTTTTCATGCAAGAAGTGTGGAGAGAAGTTTGCGAAACACAAAACTTTACTTCTCCACAAAACAAAGTGTAAAAGAGTAACTTGTGCCAAATGTAAGAAAGTCTTTAACAAACTGTCCTTTTTAAACCATCTAAGTCAGTGCAAACAATTTCAATTATCTCAGCTTGCTGATCATTCAACATTTAAGCTACACAAAACTGCTTATGGGAACAAACTTGCAATCTACATCAAAGTAAATAATTGGTCCTCAATTGAGAGCATGCTGAGAAGTGAAAAGAAAAATATTCAAGCTCTATTAGAGTACATAATTGAAAAGCTTGGTTCCATAAAAGTTCAATCTTGTCTCCTTTTAAAGTTCATCAAGCAGAAACCTGACGGAGATACAGACACAACGGACATTTACAAAATATCACAAATGCATCGTTTGACCAACATGATCAACTTTGAAGAGTTGATAAAAGAATGGATGGAGGAGGTTGAGTTGTCAATAGATCAGTTCACACAACGTGGTAGTGGTTGGGTTTTACAGACAGTAAAAGTATTGGAAATTCGGATAGGAAAACTTAAAGAACACAGTGGTGGTTGTTCATCTATTAAATTACCTGTTAAATTGATGCAAAAGAAAAGTTTGATTTCACCACTTTGTAACAAAGATTGCTTCAAATGGTCAATTCTCATGGCGTTACATCCTTTGAAAAGAAATAGAGGTAGAACTGCAAGCTATAAAGCTTACGTTCAACAATATGACTTTCGTGATGTTGGTCTTCATACTCCATTATCTAAAATTCTTAGCTTCGAAAGGCGAAATAAGGTATCAGTAAATGTTTACACGCTGTCTCCTGATAAAAGTCAAAAAATTGTTCCATTGAAAGTTAATAAGAATCCACAACTTCAACATGCAAATTTGTTCCTGTACGAAGACCATTATTTCTGCATATCAAACTTTCATGCCTTTGTAAAAAGTGATCATTCATGGGAAAGGTTTTTTTGTGCATCATGTATGTGTGGATTTAGAAATACTAAATCACTTGCAGAACATGAGATTGAGTGTTATCAAAAGGCGCCACAAGCAGCGATACTACCTGGTACTGGTAAAATATCTACAAAATGTACATTTAACAATATTCAAAAAACAATTCCTTATCCCTATGTTGTTTATGCTGACTTTGAGTCATTACTGAGACAATCAGACAAGACACTTTCTAAAAGTACATTCGAATACCAAAAGCATGAAGCGTGTTCATTTGGATTAATTGCAGTTGACTGGAATGATGAAATTTTGTACAAGAAATTTTATCGAGGAACAAACGTTTGTGAGAAATTTTTTCAAACATTGTTCAATATGAGAATGTATCTTAGGAGCCACTTTGCTAGGAACAGAAAACCGATTACATTCACAGATTTTGAAAGGGAGATTTATGAACAAGCAACTGATTGTTATGTATGTGGAAAAGAGCTGTTATCTGACAGAGTTGTTGATCATTGTCACCTAACTGGAAGGTTTAGAGGAGCTGCTCACAATCAATGTAACCTAAGGATGCGTGTTCCTGAGAAAATACCAATATTATTCCACAATTTAAAAGGTTATGATGCTCATATAATCATGAATGGTTTGAAAACCAATTTGATTGAGAAAATTAATGTGATTCCGCAGAATGCTGAAAAATACATTGCAATAATGATGGATGACTTTTTGTTCTTAGACAGTCTCGCTTTCCTGCTTTCAAGTTTAGACACATTAGCAAACAACTTGTCTAATGGTGAGAAAACCAAATTTCTTAGACAAATGTTTTCAGAAAATGATTTACCGTTTTTACTTTCTAAAGGATGCCTGCCCTATGAATATATGGATTCATGGGAAAGATTTGCAGAAAAGTCTCTACCTCCAATTGAGAAATTTTATTCAAGTTTATCGCTGAAATCAATCGACCCTGATACTTATGAAAGATTAACAAGCATCTGGAATCACTTCAATTGTGAAAATTTAGGTGATTTTCATGATATCTACTTGAAAGTTGATGTATTATTACTAGCATCAGTTTTCCAAAACTTTCGTTCAACTAGCTTACAACAATTTGGACTAGATCCATGTCATTATTTTTCAACACCTGGATTAACATGGGATGCAGCTCTTAAACTGACGCAAACTGAATTAGACCTATTGACTGATATTGATATGATTATGATGTTTGAAAACGGAATAAGAGGAGGGATATCTTGTTCAATGTTGCGTTATTGTTTAGCTAACAATAAGTTTTCTGAAAGTTTCAATCAGAATGAAGCCTCATCATTCATCACCTATCTCGACGTGAATAATTTATATGGTTATGCCCTTTCTGATATTCTACCCTGTGGCAAGTTTGAATGGGTTAAAGAGGATTGTTTTCAGGATGTAATTAAAACAATTCTTGAATCGAATGAGTATAGAGAGATAGGATATGTACTAGAAGTAGATTTAGACTATCCGCCTACTTTACACGATTCACATAATGATTACCCATTAGCTCCAGAAAAAATAATAGTCGAATATGATCAATTGAGTGATTATCAAAAAGAAACAATCTCAATGCTAGAATCAGCTGGAATTAAGCGGTATAAGACAAAAAAATTGGTGCCAAACTTGATGCATAAAAGAAAATATATTGTACATGAACGCAATCTCAAATTCTACATTGAAAAAGGAATGGTGTTGAAGAAAGTACATCGCATCATTCAATTTGAGCAGAAGCCTTGGCTCAAATCATACATTGAAATGTGTACAGAAAATAGAAAGAAAGCAACGTCGAATTTCGTAAAAGACTTTTGGAAATTGATGGTGAACGCTTTGTATGGTAAAAGTATTGAGGACAAGCGAAAACATACAAAAGTTGTAGTGGCAACAAACGGAAAACAAGCTATGAAGCAAGTTAGACAACCGATGTTTGATCAATTTTACATACTCGATAACAACATTGCGATCATAAAACTAAGAAAATTTCAAGTCGTTTTTGATAAACCAATTTATCTCGGGTTCACAGTTTTAGATTTATCAAAGTTGCACATGTACAAATTACATTACGACTTTTTCAAAAGAAAGTATGGAGATAAATTATCATTAATTTACACTGACACTGACAGTTTCATTTACAATATTCAAACTGATGATTTATGCGCTGATTTGAAGGAACTAGACTTTCTTATGGACTTTTCAGATTATCCAAGAGAACATACTTTATTTGATGAAGTCAACAAGAAAAAACTTGGTTTCTTGAAAGACGAAATGAATGGAGAAATTATTGATGAAGTCATCGCTATAAAGTCGAAACTTTATGCTATTAAATATGGAACAAAGAAAAAAATGACAGCTAAAGGTGTACAGAGAGCTATTGTGAAAGAGACTTTCTCAATTCAAGATTACAAAGATTGTTTATTCAAAAATCAGCTTTCTAAGCATACAAATGCCCGGATTCAGAGTAGGAAACATAACATTTCAACAGTTAAAATAAATAAATTATCATTTTCTCCGCTTGATGATAAACGATACATTCTCAATGATGGAGTTACAACATTAGCATTTGGTCATTACAAAATAAAGAGTTGATCAACTTTTGCAAGGTAATTCGTATCAAAACCTAACCTAACCAATCATTATTGTTTTATCATTTCTTATTAATTAATCTTATCATGTTTTTTCTTTTTGCAGATGGCCAGATATAACATTAAAGCGCGTGCTCAAAGAGAGAGCAGAAATCAAAAAACAAGAGAGAGACAACTCGTTTCACGGAGAGAGCCTATTGTCTATGCCATGGTTCTAGAAGTCATCAAAAGAATGTTTGTCGAAGGACTGCTCACTGCCCAATTATTAAACTGGGATGGTAATCGATCGCCAAACCATGAACCGGTGACAACTAAATTTAAAGAAGATGGAACCATTGATTTCGATGATTGGAATGAAGAAGGTGATAAAAACTTCTTTCCAAAAGAAAAAGATAAAGAAAAAGAAATTGAAATGGATCCAGGATGGTCTGCAGGCTGTGATGAAATGCCTGCTCAAACATTCGATGAGGAAATGGATGACATTTCCGAAATGATTTCAAATACTTTGTAATTTCATTTATTTATTCCATTTGTACTCATTTATATTCATTTGTATTCATTTATATTCATTTTTAATCATTATTACGCTTTTGTTTTTTAATAAATTTTTTTTATTATATTTTCATTGTAATTAGTTTTACATTTCATAAAAGGAAAGTCCAAGCCTGTAAAACAACTTTTTAAAAAGGTAATACAAAAATATCCACATTTTATTGATAAATCCCCTTGGAAAACAGCTATATTCCACTCATAACCATAATTTTTACAGTTTCTTTCTAGGAAGGTTTTTACATTCCCTGGCGGTGGTTGTCCATATGAATCAAAGTAAACACCATTTCCATATTCGGATACATAGACTGCTGTCCAATGTGAACCAGATTTCCAGCTCGGATCAAGATTGATTATTATTCCAAATGGTTTTGAGAGTAAGGTAAGTGGAATTGCATCCATTGCGTATACTCCTTTGAAACTTTTGTATCTAGCGAGATAATTTTGCATATCTAAAGATGTTAGTGCCATCAGTAGTCAGTGACAATATTACGTGCAGCATCGATTTGTAAAACGCTATCATATATAGCAAACACCAGCATATGCATTCCTTCATTTAGAGCAGAATTAAATTGGATATCCATGCGCACATTACCTCTCTTGATCATTGATAATACTCCTGAATCACTTGCGAGAGTGCCATCATCGGTTAAATCAAAAACTAGAAGCGGATATTTATCAGGATAATTTTGATATTTTAGATTGATTTTAGGTAGCCCACTATCTTGATTCATGGAGCGGAAAACATTGAAGTATTCTCTCATGAATAATTTATCTTTGAAATTTGGCTGGTAAGGTGTACTCGGTATTTTAGTTCCATTTACAACAATCGTAGCGCTTTGAAGATTTTTATGTTCAAAATTGAAAGAATCTTTAGCCAATTTCGCATTAAATGCGTCATCAGAAACAAAACCAACAATAATTTTCCGTGGTAACTGTCCATTGTATACATTGTCAATGCTATTTGCAGCAAAGTCTTTTGGTAGATGAAATGATTTGACTTCATTTCTTTGAAAGTAATACTTTGCCGGACTCTTTTCCAATTGTGAAGTGATTGCCATTTGTACTGGAGCATACAATTTAACTCTTCTTATGAAAAGAGAAAGCTGTGTAAACTCTACACTCAGCGGAGTTACTTCTGTTGCGCTGGTCAATCCAAAAGTCTGCGGTGCACATTTGAATCGTAATGAAATGGGTACATTATCAATCAAAAATTTTTCTTGTTGAAACATTGGGGCGTGAATAGGTATTATAATGTCAAATTCTTTTTTATCTTTGATTCTATCAGATCTCACTGATTCTGTATCATTTATCATTTGACAATCATCAAGGGGTGATTTATACTTGAAAAATATATCATCAATGTAGGACTGATAGTGGTATAAACTATTTCCAGGTGTGATATTTACACTTCCAAGATAAACATCAAGTTGCTCAAATAGTGAGGCAGCGAAATTGTTTGTGGGTGTAACACTTTTTCCTGTGGGTACATCAATCTTCATTTTTGCATACAAATAAGATGCAGAGAGGTCCGTATAGTGTTCAGAAGCTGGCACTATGAATTCAAATACATTAGCTTTCGCAATCGATCCTACCGGTCTGTATTCTGTGTCATAGATACTTTCAATGACAGTCTGTGTTGGCGGAAATTTAAATAAATCAAGCTCAGCAATAGTAGCTGGAGACGAAGATGCATGTATATACTCCATTATTTGAAAATATCTCGTTGTCTTATTACTCTCCTCTTTTTGATTCCTTTCTTTTTGCTCACTCTTTTCAGAGTGTGCTTCTTCACTTTACGTAAAGATTTTGCAGGTTTAGACTTTCGTTTCCTTTTATATAATCTTTTTCGGCCACTTCCTTCCTGTTTCACAACCTTTTCCTTAATTTTAGCTAGTCCTCTATTTGCTAAATCTTTAACACTATCTTTAAAGGCTTGTTGAATTTGTGGGTCTTGTACTACACGCTTACCGATACTGACTCCTTTATTCAGAGCTTCTTTGCCCAAATACCTTATAACAGGCATAGCTAAGCGTGAAAAGAAGCTACCGAAACCATACCCTCTTTGGTACCTAGGACCTCTGACTATTCTGATGTCTCCGAATCCAGAACCGACTTGATGTGCAAAATAGTCATTGAAATCACTATCTTTAGGACAGTAAGTTTTTCTTTGAATCATTTTATTAAATTCATCATTTCAATACATTGTTTTCTTTATATTAATTCTTTTTACGAAAATCTAAGCTTACAAAAACTCTTCCAATGTTTGCAAATTTAATCTGCTCTCCAGTATCATCCAAGCAAAAAATCGCAATATTTTCAATATGGTTTTTCCGCACTGGATAATATATTCGATGCTCAAAAGTACAATAGCCGATTCCTTGATAAATACCAGTCGTCAGTGGTACTGCTCTCAATACAGGCGCTTTTGTTCCTGCAACCGTATGATCTCGTATGATATCAGTATATACGTACATCAAATTGACATTATTTTTATGATAAAGAGGTGTTGTTACTACAACTTGCTGTTTAAATGGGTCAATATTATCGATCAAAGCATCGCCTGATGGAGAGAAGCCTAAATATTCCATTAATTTCCCGTCTGAAAATTGAGGAACAACTACAATAGATGAAATGTATTTGTACTTTTCCAATTCGTCTCCATCTGAGGGATGTTTAAGTGTGCATTCCATCAATAAATATGTTTTTGTAATAATGTCTTAAAGGCTTCGGGACCGGAGCATTTGACAGCGTGCCTATCTCTTCTAAATCAATGTCATGATCTTTTTTGTATTTTGCTTTTATCTCATCAACAGGACCATCTAAAGTAAGATTAAGCATGGTAGCTTTATCTACTTCGTGAGTGAGAAGACCAGGATAGAAGATTGTTTTCCCATTTTCGCAAACAAATTTAGGATAGGGATTGTAAACAAGGGTAGGTCTGATTTTTTTCAAATTTGCCATCATTGCAGTGTTGAGTTTATCTATTATCAAATCCACAGGGTCATCCGGAGAAACATCAATAGATGAACCATAATCATCACCACTATAGGCATATTGCAACCACTTATGCTCAGGAGCGTGCATCGTCCTCAAGTCAATATTTGGATAAAAGATGAATTGTGTCATACAAAATGTTAAAATTAACTTGCATTTTCTCTGATATATCAATAGCAAATTTGATGGGAAAATAAATTTCTGTTAGTGCAACTTCCCAATCACCATCAAGTTCCAATGCAGGATCAATTTGATTTTGAAATTTTGATAATGTATTTTCTGGAAAGATGTCTGTAGACCCATTTGACACTAGGTCAATTGTAAAGTTAATTGCTGTCATTTGCAAGAGTGATATCGGATATCCAACTATTGAATTTCCTTGGCCAGCCTTCCCACTTGACTAAGTACTTATATTGTCTTCGTGATCTGTCATAAACTCTCCTGATTATCTTTTCAACTCTGCGCAATTTATTAGGGTCAAAATCAACCTTTTGTAATTCTTCAGGATAAAAAATTGATGATATATTTTCACCTTGTAGATCTTTCAATTTATAGATGAATTTTTGAGGCGTTTCTTTAACCCCTGAAACTTTGAACACTTCATCAGTCCATTTCTGTACTGCATCTTTTTCGAAATTGCCAGTATTTAATGGAATTTTAACAAAGTCATTTTCATTGAAAGTTTTCTTTTTATTCTCTTCATTTTTTATTGATCGCTGAATATTTTGCACGATGGATTGTTGATTATCTTGTGTTACAGAGTTTGGAGCTGTCTTAATAGTTCTGTGGTAAGAGTTGTTGTAATTATTAACAATGTTTTGTAAGTCATCAATGTATCGATGTGTATGTTTATGGTAAATGAAACGGTATATACGAGAACGTAATGTTCGTATTAAACGTTCAGCTAAAGCACATTTTATTGAAGCGTCAGTTGTCGTGAAATAATGTACACCCTGAGACGAGCAGAAAAACTTAAACCTGTTGTTATTGAATTCTCTTCCTTGGTCCGTTTGTAGTTTTTCAGGCTTTCTTCCTGAAGAAAAAATTTCAGAAAAAGCATTGATGATTGTAGATCCTGATTTATCTCTACACGGTTGTACCCATGCGAATCTACTCAGTATATCAATCACAACAAGTAAATGATTGACTCCATCGTTTTGTCCTGACCAATAAGACATGTCCATAAGATCTGCTTGCCATTGCTCATCAATTCTATCAACCAATACAGCTAGCCTTTGAAAGTTTTTCCGTCTTACCCGAAAGTTTGTATACGTTTCTTGCTTCATCAACCATTGTTTTACATCATTAAATTCAATCGATGGGTCATGCTCCTTCGCAACTATGAAAAGTCTTTTAGCACCTCCGAAACTACCGTGACTATCCAAGTCATAATAAAGGCGTTTCAAAAGTTCTTCACGTTGGTCCATTTGAGTGTCTGACATTTCACAACTTTGTTATCCTTTTGAGGTCTTTTAGATAATTTCTTTTCATATTTTTGAACCGCTTTTCTAAAGCTTTCTTTATATTCTTTTAATTTAATTTCAGGATCAGTTTCGTCCTTTTCTATTTTCACAACTTTTGCCTGTTCAGCATCAGCTGTCACATTATTGGAATTTTTAACGTCACTTTTAAGAAGATGATATTCTTTTTGCGGAATCACAACCATCTTATTTATAACATTCATTGCATAAATTTATTGGCCAATTCTCCTCCTAAATACGATATTGCTGGCCAAAGTAACGCTGGTAAAAATGCTCCACCACTTTGTAAAATAATTTCTTTTCTCTTCTTCAATGGGATACTTTTTCTTGAAAGCTTTCGAAGTTCAAATTTGTAAGGAGCAAGTTTTGTTCTCAATAAATCTTCAACCGGTATATTTCCGTTTAGAGTATTTTTACTTATTTCAGAGATTGCGTAGTAAGTACAAGATTTTGTTTGCTTTAAAATTTTTTCTCTTTGTTTTCTTGTCTTGGCTTTAGCAAGTTTTTTTAATGTCGGAAGACACTTGTTGACACCTTCAATCGACATTTATTTCACATAAAAAATGATTCTTCCTTTATATAACTTATATTACATAAGCATACATTGGTTCCTCCTTCTCATTAAAAACATTCGTCAATAATCTTATTTTTTCAGGTGTGTCTGGCTTCAGATCAATAAAGAGGTAAGAATATGGATCTTGCGTAGCATCTTCAAATACAGCTTGAAATTTTTTAATTTTTGTTGGAAACATCTGACGTCCTATGTTTGTAATCATAGATTTATCCCGAGGATTTTTAAAACATACCACATATTGACTATTGAGACTTATGTTTCGACTCTCTTTTCCTTTCATGAAAAAGTTTTGGGTGATTAAAATTACTGAAATATTTCTATGATGAGACCCTTTAGTAAACAAGTTACTAACAAAAGTTTGATTTACAGCTTCCAACATCAAATCATCTATTACTATCCATTGTGGTTCGTCACCACCGATTTCACTAATTACTTCTTCTTGAAGTCCTTCAATGAATTTCACATCATTCATTGAATTAAACATTTTTTGGTACTCTCCATAAAGATAAGTAATGGACTTTGGTGGGGGATCACAAATATATGCTGCTTTGTTGATCATGTCCCTGATGAAATAAGTTTTACCAGAACCGGTTGGTCCTGCTATTAACATTGTAAAAGGGTGTTTCAAATAAATTGAAAAGGACATTTTGTTTAAAAAATTAAAATTTATTGTTTTATATTGTACATTCAAATTTTCAAATGGGTATAGGGTTTGTTACTGCCTGTATTACAGTTTCAGGTTTCAGGGATCGCGGATATTTTGGAGTAGGTAGTAAGAAACCAAAAGATGATCCAAGTAAAGCCGTCCAGAGCGATAAATTACCAGTTTTTAGTATAATATTAGCTATAGCTGTGAACAGCATTGCAACTAATACGAACAATTGTACAGAAAAGAGAACTTTTTTAAACCAAATTTGCTGATTAGCTGATACATCCATTTCTCCAATTTTTTAATAATTTTATTTTATGATAAATGTTGTCTTTATATTGACTTCAACCTTATATTGTAGTCAAATTCATCACAATAATGAAATATTGATTTATAGTCCTTCAAACCAGTTATTATAACTTTTCCGGTTCTGAAAATTATGAAAATAACTTTTGTATCATCCAACTTAAGATGTATACCAGGAAACAGCTCAGGTGTGTAAGAACTTTTTGGATGCAGTAACAGTTCGTTATAGTCGAAATCACCAATAATCTTTGTGCAAGCAGTAATGTTAACTATTTTGAAAGAAGTATACTTTATATCTCGAGGGTATTTTGCACAAAATCGATCAATTAAAACAATGGCAGTTGCAATATTCTGAACACCAGTTACAATGATTTTTCCGGAGTCAAAGACAAGAAGACACCCATCAGGATACTTAAGAACACCTCCTGGAAATGTTTTTTTATACTCTATGTCTTGAAAAGTATCTTTTATTTGATTTCTACAAAGATTTGAATTCAATTCAAAGGAAGTAACAACATTAACAACTTTAATGTTCTCTTGCAAGTATCTCATGGTTAATACATTTTTTAATCAATAAACTTTAGTCTAAATACTCCTGCTACAAAAGAGCGACACAGAGGACAAGTAGCGATACCTGGTGTACAATCTATGCATGTTACTGCATGATCACAAGGGTAGAAGCAACAGCCGACTTCCTTTTCCAAACATATTTTACAAGTATATCTACTGTTTGCTGGTTCAACATTTGCAGATACAGGTATGTTGGATTCACTTCTACTGGTGGCTGTTTCAATAAATCGTACCCCACACTTGATGTAAATAAAAGTACAACAAGGTGCGAAAAGTGCATGCATAACCCAAGCATTATCATGTTTTACCCATTCAAATATTGAATTAGCACAGTGGAAACAAGTAACAAGATCGGTTCTTCCAGCATAGAAGAAACCAGCTTCAGCCAATTCTTTTGGTGTAATAGCTGGATTTGGCCAATCTTTAAAAGTTGCAAGTCGACTTTCAAAGGTCATATACTGCGGGAAGCGAGCTATCACGTGATTCGCAAAGTAATTGATAGTTGTATCAACTACATTTCTTATTGCCGATCTCAATGACTCACGATTATACTGACTTCGACCACCATCATCAACTTCAATACGATCAATATTTCTACGTTCGATAAATGGAACACCTGCAAGAGCAGACATTTGCAATGATGCTCGTTCCTCTTCAGAAAGTCCACCAACAATGTTATTGTTTTCCACTGCTCCATCTCGATGAATTCCAGTGACATCATTGCCAGGCATCGATTCAGCTGCAGAATGATTTCCACGATTACTTTGACTCAATTGATTACCATCTACTTCATTACTTTCAGGAATCACAACAGGTGAAAGCTCAGACATTTGTAATGACACTGGTTCTTCAGAAAGTTGTCCAGTACTGTTATTGTTTTCCACAGGTTGAACTGGTCGTAGTTCGGTGACATTAATGATTGTCATCGATTCACCAAATTCGGGTGCATCATTCATGTTTTCAACAGATTCGCTTATGGTGACAAGGCGTGGTGAATTAACTGAGCGGGATCTTTCATAAGCATAAATCCCTGCTGGATGAGCTACTAAGTGAATGATAGGAATAAAACCTGTGTTACCATCAACCATCACAGTTAAATGATAAAACTAAAATGCATCAACCCAAAATGAGACTTTCGTATTTAAGGTGAAAAAGTAGGTTAATGATAATGTTAACTTAAAATAAAATGACCCAATAATGAAAGGTAGGTAGAGTTCAGTTTGACCTTATTCTACTTATATTTAACTCTGGATAAGCACAGTATGCCTTGCAGGTATGCTTTGATTGAAGATTAAAGTTAAAAATAAGTGAATGCGAGGCAATAACCTTATTTAATTGCATTACATCATTAATCATGGAAAATTTAAGGTTAATCACTGTATGCATTACCAAAGGTAAGAATGTATTGTAAAAGGTACAATAATCATTAATATCAATCAAACTTGTCTATTATCAAAGGTACGAGTGCATTTAACGAGGTAAGTTAATTATAACGGTATAATTAAGGTCATTTCGATATTTGCATTGTCAAAGGTAAGTATACATTAACAAAGGTATAAAAATTATAAATCAATATCGATTATCGAAAAAGTGTGCTATCTTGTGTATTTCTATTACTACTTAAAACAAAAATACCTTTAAATCGAGATTCACTTTTAATCTGAAAGGAAGAAACTAGAAAGGATTTCAAGACAGTTTCTTGTCATTCTTCAATCGACATTTCCATGTAAACTTGAGATTCTCTATTTACACCTTTCTTTCGTTATTTGCCGAATAATTCAATTTCGCTTTTCCTCTCTTCAAGTGTCATCATATTAATCAAAGAACAGAAAACCTCAATTAAATATTTACTCTTTTCATTAACCTATTAACAATGGAAAGTAGATGAATGAAGATGGAAAAGGATAAAAGTGATAAAATGGATTCTTCCAACTGATATATAATTCAATTTAACAACTATTATCATCAACAATGAACACAATATCAAGAGTCTATTGAACATTTCAAACCCATTATTATCAATAATAAAATGTTTGTCCCTTCAATCTCAATAAGTAATACAACATTTTCCCCAATCGAGGTTGGCAAAGTTTTTTCAAAATCAACTTTGCAAAAATTGAAATCAAAGTTGTTCACCTTTTCCCAGTGTAAACGATAAAACTAGATTAGAGTGGAAAGTTTTTTCACCAAATTTGCAATTCCATCAAAAGTGGTGAAAAGAAGAAAAATTTTTATTGAAACTTTGACCAAAATTGGCGCATCAAGTAAATGACAGCTTTTGACCATAACTATTGGCCACAAAATTATTCAACCTTTATTGACTCTGATTGGCATGGAAATCATTTGATTATCATTTCAATTAATGATATCAGTTTGTTGTTCAGCCCTTGGTGGCCTTAAACCCTAGGTTTAGGTGAATTACACTGTGAATATTTAGACTGCCCTGAAGATGTTTGAATAGCACTTGAAGGTTTAAGTAAAAGTAAACACACAAATTTCACTCCCAAGTGAGCTTTGAATGAGTCTATCAAGTGAAATGAAAGTAGCAAGTAAACACGGCGAAATCTTTCAATATTTTTCATTCTTGTTCATTTTGCCAATTTGATTGCGTCTTGAATGGCGAGTCAAACATTGGACCGATAATATCCATGAACATGATTATTGGCCACTTTGGTGAAGCAAGTTGAAGCAGCAAATGGCTGAGGATTGAATCGAGCAAAAGCTAAAAAAAGGTTTTTGTACGGAAAAGAAGGGAAAAGGTAAAGACAAGAGAAGGCAAAATAAGCCCAAATTACAACAACCTCAGGGGTCTTGAGTTGAACAAATTTTGGCTTACATATCTGTTTATTCAACATCATTTTTGCCTTTTGTTTCATGGGTTTTACTGTTGAACGTTTGCACAGTAAATTGCACATGCTACATGTTGTGTTAGTGTTGTTACCGATTGTTGTTGATCATGTTTGTTGTTGATGAGAGTAGATGAAAAGGCAACTCATTTAAATATAAACAAGAAACGATGAAACGATGTACACGAGTATTTGCTTACCTTGTGCCTATGCCAGTGTTGCCCACCCATTTTCGGGTACAAGTTAATGTGTGTCTGTTGGCAACTGGAAAGACACCCAAGGCTCTTTAACCGTCGATCAGCCCAACAATCAGTGACCCTTCATTTCAATATTTATTCTTGTTCTTTCTCAACTTTCATCTGTTGCTCTCACCCATTATCCTGGTCCACAGTTGATCTGTAATTATAAACCCTTCAACAAACTCCACTAATATTAGCACAATCATAATTTGCCGCTCCGTTGTTTCTCTGTTTTTGTTGTTCGCCTTCAAACCTCTTTTTTTTACTACTTTTACCTTGTAATTTGCTCTTCTTTTGGTCATTGTTTGGTCAACAACAAAAAAAACAGATGCATTTTGCTCTTTCCATTCCGAGTTCTCATTTACATTACTGATAATCATTGATTTTCATGTTTAATATGGTCTTCATGTCAACATGAAGTGTATAATCTAAAGGTGCAAATGAACGCTATTGATATTTAAAGTAAAAGCTTTTTCTCGCCTTTACCTTTTAATGTTGTCTGATTGCGTGATAATTTATCAATGCTGACAAGTAGATCAATGAGGTTTGTGATGATTAAATGGGTAAATGATTAACAATGAGTGTTTCAATTGAATTAAAGGTGAAAATGGTTGAGTTTTTTTTTACTATCAACAGTAAATTATATGTTATTTTCATTCTTGTTGCACTCCTTTTGTTACCTTTCATTTCAATGTAATTTACTTTGTCAATTCAATTGAATGCTATTAAATTGATTATTTCATAGTCTTTCTTTCTTTATCATTTCTATATTAAATTGAAATTCAGAATAATTTGAACAAGGTAAAGAAGAGAAAAGATGAAAAGAATGAAATGAAATGAAATTTGTATTATGAACAATATTGAATGTTGAATAAAGCTTTTAAATGTTTCGATGAAAATACTAAATGTTTTATAATGAAATAATATTTTTCGGCACAAAATTTCAAGTTGTTTTGATTGTAATAAAATTACCGTTTGTTGAAGACTGATTCAACATTTGAACCCATCATTGGGTTATTTTGCATTATTATTGTAACAAGTTTGCAAATGTTTGGATAAATATTGAGTCAATTTGCTTGCATCATGCAAGGTTCAATGTTAATCTGTTAGCTTTGCATTATTTTTGGGAAAATAATTGATAAAACCTAAAATAAATAATGACTCAAAATGTTTAATTTGTACAAGCTGCTTAGATCTGGTAGTCTTTATTAAACTCATGAGTTTACTCAAAGATTAGCCACAAATTTGGCTGATGCAGAGTTCAACAGGTATCATTGGGTTACTTTTACTTAACATTGTGATAACTAATTGATACGGATCGTATGATGACGGCTTAAAATGGTCTGGTTTTGACTTTGAACCATCGCTCAACAAGGATTTTCAATGTCACCCTTCAAAGTTTAATAAATAAATGGTTCAATGTGGATCGATAAACTGTTTTAACCCAAACTTTGCTTCCTCTAAATGATCAAGTTTGAACATCTTTCCAGCACAATCCGACCACAAGTTTTACCACTGATCTTGATTGAACAGTCCGAAGTCCCCACTAATCATTCAATCGGTAGTAGTGACAGGCAACTTGTATCTTGCATTGACTTTGGAATCAAGACGAGTGATCAGATCGACGGTCTTTCGCCACTTAGTCGACTTTTGCATTTATTAGCATAAAAAGTCTCAAAAAATGCAAATATGGCAAAGCTTAGTAAACTAACATGAAATGAACAAACTAAATATGCTTCGATGAATCCTGAATCTTTTACTATCCAAGCTTGCTGTCGATTTGAATTGTACATGGAAACGTTTAAACTCTTGATTTCAAACTAATTGTAGTCAGGATTGAAAAACAATGAAACATCATCTAATGTGTCATTGCCTTTTAGTGCATAATTCATGTATTTCATCTTGAAAATTCACGATTTTCTGCAAAATTGTAATCGCTTTTACTTACGACTCCATTTGAAATTAGTGAAACTTGAAATGCTATCTAAATAAAGTTTACGCATAAATATTCAATTTGTTTAATGATTACTTGCTTTTTGATTGTTTGCTTGAAAACGTTTCCCCTGAACACTTGTTTGTTTTACACTTTTGTTTCTCAAATGTGTTTAAACGTTATTCATTTGAAAAAAATAGGAAGAAAAAAGCTGCGAATTGAATCTTGTGTTGTTTCCCTTCTTACGCATATTATTACATGATGTGAAAAGTAAAAGTCTCAGCGTGAAAATGAATGAGCTTATAAAAGAAACGAAGAAAAGGAAAAAGAAAAAGAACCCAAAAAATCTTAAATCAAAGGTTAATATAATACAAGAAGGTGCAACAAAAGGTTGAGAGAAGCACAAAAAATTGAATTTGATGGAAGCATAAATTTCATGGTTCATGATTATCAATAGTGAAAAGATAAACTCAGACACACAGAATAGTTTTTTATTTGTTTCCTCTGTAAATTCTGGTTACTATTCAATTTTTTCTCCTCTTTTCTTCTTCTTCTTCCTTCCATCAGAATACAGCCATTTTGCTCATCTTCATGATGACTTGTTTCAAATGAAATTTCAGTTTCAAATGGTTAACAGTGAAAAGAGTTGTTTGCTTAGATTCATAAACTGGAAACATTGAGATGAGCAAAGGAAACACCAAGTAACTTGAGCTTCAAGTTGCTTTAATTTGAATAGTTAATTAAAGAGTAAACTTGAGGAAAAAGATGTTCCATGAAAAATTCAGGGAAAAGAGGTGAAAGTGTTTCAATATTTGTAAATTGATTGTGATTTACTGAAAACCATTTCATTTGCTATTCACTTGTCAGAAAGCCTTTAACCTTTCAACCTTTTCACCTCAAAATGAATCATTTCTCATGACAATCAAATGCAAATGTCGATTAAACTCTGAAACTTTGTAATACTTTTCACCTAAAAATAACTCTGAAAGTTTCAATCAATGTTAATCCATTTGGCAAATGATTGGATTACTTTAATCTCTTTCTTTGCAGGGAAATTGAAAAAATTGGAAATTCTGTTCAATTGAGAGTCAAACCTGATTAATGGATGCAATTCAAATGATTAACCCTAAAAATGAGTTTAAAGGTGGAAATTGTTTTTGGAATCAAATTTAATTTCAATTACCAAATCATTGGCGCTAATCATAATCAATTAGACAATCATTTGGCAAAACAATGAAATTCAATCTATCATAATGAATCAAGTTCAATGTCTACCTGTCAAGTTTAGTTTTTCAAAGTTCATCTTTTTCTTAACATGATCAATCAGTTGAGCTTTTTTTGTTCAATTCAATGTTGGCTTTAGGTGAAAATAAGGTGATAATTCGTCTTAATTACTGTCTATTAATCTGATATTAAAAATTGTATTTAATCATAGATTAGCGAGCATTCTAAATTGGTAATTCAATTTCACTGTTTACCTCGTTAACATGGAAATGTGTTTATAACCTTTTTCTTGCCAGTTTTTTGCTCCTCTTTTTGCTTCCCAATCCTAAATGTACTTTTATCTTTATCGCTATGCAAATGAATAAATGAATTTCATGTGAATATATTGTTGGAAGAGAGAGAGAAAAGAGTGAAATGAAAAGGCAACTGAGAACATAATGATTACTAATTTAATAAATTGCAATTGCAAGTTTGCCGAAGAAGAAAAAAAATCTATCAAGATTTACTCCTTTTTTTTCGTCTCTACACTTCAGCTTCTTCTTACTGTTGATTTATTTTGCTTGATTTAATTGGAGTTTTTTACTCTTGGTTTGTGAGTAAAAGATTACTGGAAATGTAAATCAAGCCTTGTAATGATTGTATAAAAAAAGAGTAAAAACGTATCATGAAATTTCAATTGATTCACATTAAAATTGAGTAGAGAAAAATTGCTTTTTTTACTCTTTCAAAGCATTCTTTTTAACTCCTCTGTGTTTGTGTAATGATATTATTTGGACAACTCATTAAAGTTGATAAGTGACCTGAAAATTGAATTACACAAATAGGTTTGAACGAGTGGTTGAGTGGTGAAAGAATCGTTCTTTGGCTGAGTAAAGAAATTACTTGGAATGCATGAGATTATGGAAGGCATGTAAATGATGAGAATGATTATGATGATGAGGAGGATAAAGTTGACATTCAGATGGCTGGAGAAGAATGAAAAGTGCAGAGAAATGATGATGATGATGGTGATAATAATGATTATCTTCAATGATACCAAGAGTATGAGGACCAAAGTGAATGTAGTAAATAAGATGAGGTGATGAAGAGGAAGATGTCAAGTTTTTTGTTCTTCTCTTTACTCTTTTTTTTTTCTCTCTCTCTTGTTCCTTTCTGCATCACTTTCAGCTTTTTCAAGTATGGTAAATATATTAATAAGCAAATGGTGAAGCAAATAAAGACTCAGCCAATGGTCGGAAGACAGGATTGTATGAGATGTTGTATTGAAAATGATGACGATAATGATAAAGTACACTTTAGCTCTTTTTGATTGAAGACAACTAGACTTTACTTTGACTTTTTTTCCTCCTTCTTTTTTCTCCCGTCAAGACCTCTTCTTTATCCATGCTTCCTTTATTGGACTTGAACGATGCAAAGTGATAACTTATCATCTTCATTATGTAGTACAATGCCATTCAAGTCATTGAGAAAAGGATCACTTTGATGAAACTGAAGCAGGAGAGAAGATGAAAATTTTTGCCATTCCTTGTTTATAATTGTTTCAAATTTTATCAATTTGACATTTCATTAAATGGATTCATTTCTTTTTGCGAGTTGAACAGAATTATCAATTCAGAATAGTTGAATTTCCAATTACAAATTACAGGTTTGTATTTTTGTGCTTCCATCAGCTTCCATAATCAAAGATTTCAACTTGAATTGTAACTTTTGCTCCTCTTTTTCAGTTTTTCTTGAATTTTTGATGAAATGATGAGTCTAAAAAGTATAAAATAGAATAAAAGAGTTCATCAGAGAAAAAATATGAAGTTTCAATTCATTTAGAAAACATTTGAACTATACTTATCTATTGTATGAAGATATTTCATGGTTAGCAATGAAGTGAAAATCGAAGTAAATTGTAGCAAATGCTCGTCCAATTACTATGAACAGTCCAAAATAGTGATTTGAATGGGAAAATGAAGAGAAAATGAGAAAAAAAATCTCATTTTAATAACTGCAGCAAGAAATTCATTAAATTGCCTTTCATTTGTTATTTATTGTTTCCAATTTTTTGCAACTGTGAAACATTCATTAATGAATTGCAATTACTTTTGAAAGGTAAAGATGATGTTGAGCTTTAAAAAAAAGCTTGATTTGTCACAATGATGGGTATAATAATGAGCAGCTCTGAGCTTTAACCAGACTTTTCATTTCACAGCACCTAAAGATCAGAGGTAAATTCAGAGCCATTATTGTACAAGAAACATTCAGTAACATCAAGTTGGCAAAGAAAAGGATCTTTCCTTTTTCTCCTTTCCTTTCATAGCAATGATGATGAGGGGAAACAATTGCAATTATAAGCTAATGTATTGGGCCGTAAATTGACTGGGCTTTGTTGAATCATCAATTAATAGGATTTGAAAAGCATTGTTATCTGAAAAAAATAAATCAAGGTAAAAAAAACGATGAGCAACTTTGAATTGAATGTCAATCAAAAAATAGTTAGAGCAACTTACAAGTAAAAAAACAACCAAATGAGCTTTATGTTGGTTAATTATAACTCTATACCTTAAAGCGATTTTAAATTTCAATCAAATGAGCAATTCTTTTCCATTTTACAACAATGATGATGACGATGATGTTGATGATTAGAATCATTTGCTTTCAGCATCTTTTAAATAATCCTTTTCCCCTTTGCCTTGTGAAGTAAAAAACAAAATGTGAATCACGCTTCTACATTGAAGTTCTTGTTTTTTGCATGTATAATGTGTCAACAGCTTAACTGTGAATACTTAATCCAATCAAAGTACTTATTAATTGCTGCTACTTTTCATTGTAACAACCTTTTTTAATCAGCCAATTGAAAATAACTTCCATTCATGTTTCATCGTTTTTTTGGCAGACAGCATTTGCTTTTCTCACTAACATATTTCCAATAATCACAGTCATTAATTTGCTTTTGATGAAGATTGGAATCACCTTTCCATTGAGCCGAAAAAACTGGAAACTTGAGTAATCTTCTTCAAGGTAAATCCGTACAACCAAAATCACATGCATTTTTGGTCCTTTGAAAGTATAATTTCGCTTCAATAGATGAATGTGGGATGAATCACAATCAAAGATTACACCTGTAAAGTATGAAAAATGAGAATTGGTAAAATTACTAATAGCTCAATCAATTTGACTTTTAACAGGAAAAAAATACTTACTTTACAATGAATAGTGATGAACCAAAATCTATAAACGGCTTATTGGTGGATAATAACACCAAACGTTAGTCCAAGGCAAAGCATAACATTGAACAGATTTTTGCCAACAATTGGAAGCAATTTTTTCTTGACTTAATTTGGCATAAATCAGGCCAACTAAATGAGATGGAGCTGCATTGAAGCTTGACTTATGGTAAGGGTTAAACCTGACCAAGAGTCACGGCCAACTTGTCCAAGTAAACAACCTTTTAAGATGATGATATATGTTCAATAACTGCACTTGGTACAAACCAATTTGAATCACAGACAAACCTGCCATACACAATTACCAAATTAACCATATCCAACTGATAGTTAACCAGAATCTGTGATAAGAAAAATTAAGAAAAAAGCTGTTGAAATTAAACCAAGAAGCCAAGAAAAGTCAGGGACAAAAGAGGTTAAACACACACACACTTTAATTTTAACACTTACTTGTGACCGAAATAAGACGCAGTTTCAAATTAAAACTGTAGGCCTGAACGGTCAAAGGGCCAAAAAAGACCAGCCAAATAGATAATAAACACAAGGCTAAAAAATCAAATTGCATAACTTGAAATTAAATGAAATTAAAAAAGCAGACGAGTTAAAATTCAAATCAATAAATAACGGAAAAGACAATAAGGGGTTGTCTATTAATTATGATCGCCAATTTTTCCCTCAAAAATTCACTTTTCCATCAACAAGAGTTCAACTAAATCAACTGATTCTCAACAAATATGCTTTTCAATGGTAACATCTCTATTAAGACTATTTAATGGCAGATTAGTTTGGTTATAACAATGATAGAGAATGAAAAAAAGGTAAAAGTAGAGGCTGAAAATATGTCAATCCAGAGTAATAGTGAAATGAAGACACAAAGCATTGAAATGATAAAGAAATAAGATGAACTATGAATGGTTATAATAGCGAAAATAAGATGATAATAGTCATTGTTGGGTGCAATTTATCCAACAGGATTAATCGCACTTGCATCCAAGCACTTGATCAACTTTTCTCACCTCTAAACCCTTCATTCAAACAGGTAATCCGCTTTAAGAAATTTAATAAACGAAAAAAAGGCTAAATAGAGATGAGCCGATACTTGAGTACTTTGAATGGTTAGTTTGAATGGACATGAGTGAAGTTCGTTGGACTGGTAAGGTCAAAGTTGGACGCAAAGAAGGGTCACAAAGAGGAAGCGAAATGAAGGTAAACAAATGTTCAACTTTGAGATGACATTTAAGGCTCAATCAACTTTGATGAAGTGTCGAGTAAAGTAAATGTTTTAGCCAAATGAAAGTTATTTTTAAATTGACAAACATTGAAATTAGTTGATTAGCGGTTGGAAATGTTTAAACAATCTCGCTCAATGTTAACAAATGAATGCAACTCTTTGAAAACCAAAACTCTCATTAGCTAGGAATCTTGAATCATCCTTTAAACATGATGATAATTACCGTAACTTTAAAACAAACATTCCAAAATCAATTAGGAAAAAATGCTTTTATCCTTCTCTCATTATAATAGGCCAAAGATGAAACTCTTGTCAGCAAAATAACCCGATGATGTACAGGATTGTTGACTCGATAACTTAATTTCTTGTCTCAATAATGCAAAACTAGATTTTGGAGTTCTTCAAACCTTTATATTCCCAATCATCGTTATAACCAAATGGACTGAAAAGATTGTTCTGAAACAATATTGAAGTCAACCAATCTTAAATAATGATTTCTTTTACTTTTGCAAAACAGATTATGAAGTGAATTCAAACACTTTCAATCAATTCAAACAAATGGCCAAAGAAATAAATTTAGTTTGAATTATTCAGAGTTTCAGTTTAGTTTTAGAGTTGAAGGTTTATTAATCATAATTTAACTTTGCTAAAAGTATTGATTGAAATGGCAGATTCATATTTAATAAACTTTCTCATTACGGTTTTGTGCATCATAAAGTTGGATTCAGTTTGTTGATTGCTGCGACTACAACGAGTTTTCAATTGATGCACTATTTTGAAATATCTATTTCAATTCCATTCAAACACAGTTGATAAATGGTACTTTTGAAAGTGTTTATTTGCATTGATTGTAATCAGCTAAATAAATTAGTGCAATTTGTTCATATTACATGTTAGATGATGATTTTAATCAAAGTATTACAGCACTGGATACGAAGTGATGAAGTAAATTTCCCTGAAATAACTATCAATTCAATTGCCTCGAAGCTAATATTGAAAGTTTCTTCAACAAGTGGAATTGTGGGAAAGTGTTTATTCGCATTCGCCATAAGTTTGATTCACTCAAGATATTTAATAAAATTACCTGGCATTTCGTTTGACAAAGTTTTTACAGCTGACCCTAACACTATTTTGGACTTTTCTTGCGGAATCTTTTATTTTAGTTTATTTCATTTCAAATATAACCACATTTTTGTGAAACAAATTGAAGATGTTTGGAATGAATTACAAATTGGATTTGATTATGAAGCCAGAAAATACTTTTGGACTCGTAAAGTCATCTATTACTCAGTTACAGTCGGTACTATTTGTCTTTTTATTCACGATATTAGCTATTTTTACCATAATTGGCCTTATTCAGACCCAAAAAGACTCCAAAATCAATTTGACTACTGGACTTCGGTTATGAGATTGCCGATAATTTATCCTTACGTTGTATGCAACAATTGCATTTTATATGATTTATCAATTACAGCTGAAACAGCAATTCAATATATCGACACCCAATCCAAGCGACTTTACAAGGAATCATTAAAAGATGAAAAAGCATTGAATTTTCAGGTAATTCATGATCTCAGACTAAAGTATCTTCAAACACATCGTTTGGTCAATAAAATGAATGAATTTTTAAGTCCGTATCTGCTCTTATCCTTGATTATCTGCATACATCATTTCATTTATCTGGTCTATTCAATTCTATTCGTCCAACAAAGTGGACTATCACGCATATGTCAGGTTATTAGTTTCGTTGGATTTTCCACATTTACATTCTTTATTACTCATTTATCTTCCCAAGTTCACGTGAAGTCACAACAATTGTTAATGACTGTGTATAAATTATCCCTGAAAACAGACTTTTTAAAGGTTCTCAATGAGGTTAGTGGACAATCGATTTGATGCTACATCATATTCAATTTTCTTGCCTTTAATAAACTCGAATTTTCTGTCTTTCTTTCAGATTACATTATTCGTCAACTGCACTGAAATTGGATTCTCACTCGGAGGCATTTGTACATTAACCTCTTCTGCTATAACTACACTTTTCAGCATCTTAACTACGCTTATTATAGCTATCCCATCCTTTATAAAATAACATCACTAAATAAATTCATAACTTAATTTACAATTCTATCGGAATTTAGAACGAAGAACTAGCAACATTCGAAGTTCAGACCTGAATTAAAAAAAGGTTTTCTCCCGTGAACAATGACATGTTCTCGTTACCCCAAAACATTGCACAAATGGCTACAAAAATGTTTTAAAGTAAATTAAATTGAATTGAAGTTAACGCTATTTTACTTTGTTGATCGACAGGTTACATTAACGGGTCTACACAAGTTGGTGAAAGAAACTAATTTAGCCCGAATTATTCAGAAATTTCTGCCTGATTTTAGAGTTTATGGTTTATTTATCATATTTAATTATTCAAAGATTTATATTCATTAACTTTACCGTTATGCTTTTGTGAAAAGTTGAATTCAGTTTATTGATTGCTTTGACTGAAATCTCGAAGTCCTAAAACTGCAATCAGTTATCAATTAATGCGCCTGTTGTATGAATACTTGCATCAATAAATATCAAATGAAATCAAATGAAATACCCACTTGTAAAATGTTTTATTATTCAATTCCATTCAAACACAATGGAAGAAAAGTACAAATCAGTGTTTATTTGTATTAATCAAACTTATATTGAACTGAACAAGTTTATAAAATTTGTTCATATTACATGTTAGATGATGATTTTACTCAAAGTGCTAAAGTACTGGATTCGAAGCGATGAATCAACAAATTTTCCCGAAATAACTATCGATTCAATTTCATCGAAGTTAATGTTGAATATTTCTTCAACAAGTGGAATCGGGGGAAAATGTTTATTCGTATTCATCACGAGTTTACTAAACTCTAGAACTTTGCTGAAATTACGTGGCATTTCGTTCGACACATTTGACACGTTCGACAAAATCTCGTCTATTTAATGTTATCTGCACATCAAAGTCGATTATATTGGGTTTTTTACTTTGGAGGATCGTTTCCATTTACATTTCTTATTATTCATTCAACGTCAAAAGTTCACATAAAATCGCAAGAACTATTAACCAATGTTTATAAATTGCCCCTCAAAACAGACTATGTTAAAGTTCTCAATGAGGTAAGTTTCTAGTTGTTTCAATGTTAATATTCATCATATTCAATTTCCTTGTTTCTACTAAATTCGAGTTTTTGTTTTTCTTTAAGATTACATTATTTCTCAATTGTGATGTCATTGCGTTCTCACTTGGTGGCATTTATATGATAACCTCTTCTGCAATAAGCACAACTTTCAGCATCTTAGCTACTCTCATTATTGGTATTCCATCCTTTATAAAATAACATCATAAATTCAGTTTAAACCAAATGTTTATCATTCAGATAGAATCGTACATTTATTATTTCTGATACAGAAACTTCCAAAAGTGTGATCAATGTTAACCCTTTGCAGACCTTTCCACTCTTAATACACAAAGCTCGATATAAGCTCAAGGTAACTCTCAAAGTCACAACACTATCGATTGCTTTATTGAAGACTTTTGTAAATATCAAATGGTAAACGAAACCTTAAATTATTCAGAAACTTCAGTTAAATTTTAGAGTTGATGATTTATTAAACATGATTAACCTTTACTAAAATATTGATTGAAATGACAAAGATTCATATTTAATTAACTTTACCATTATGATCTTGGGCATCATAAAATTGGATTCAGTTTTTAGATAACTTTCACTTAAATCTCGAAGTCTTAAAACTGCAATCAATTTTCAATAAATGCAGACACAATTTTACTTACAGAACATCTGTGGTTATTTGTATTAATCAAACTTATATTGAACTAACAAGTAATTTTATGCAATTTGTTCATATTACATCTTGAAATGATTTTAATCAAAGTATTAAAATATTGGACTCGAGGTGATGAACCACCAAATTTTCCTGCAATAACTATCAATTCAATTTCATCAAACCTTATGTTGAATGTTTCTTCATCAAGTGGGATTGTGGAAAAGTGTTTATTCGCATTCACCATGATTTTACTCAACTTGAAAAATATAGTAAGTTTACACAGCATTTCTCTGGAAACAGTTTTCAATGCTAATGTGCACACTATTTTGTACTTTTTGGGACGAGTGTGTATTTTTAGTCTATTTTATCTTAAATATACTCGCACTTTTGTGAAAAAAGTTGAAGAACTTCAGAATGAATTAAAGATCGAGTTTGATTATGAAACCAGAAAATACTTTTGGACTCGAAAAGTCATCTATTATTCATTTAATGTCGGTAGTAAAATTTGCCTTCTTATCAACACTATGGGCAATGCATACCATAAATGGCCTTATTCAGACTT